TGTTCACTGAGGAAAGCTTCTTATCTCTCCTTGCTATTCTTTAGAACTCTGTATTCAAATGTGTAAATCTTTCCTTTTCTCCTTTGCTTTTCATTTCTCTTTTCACAGCTATTTGTAAGGCCTCCTCAGACAGCCAGTTTGCTTTTTTGCATTTCTTTTTCTTGGGGATGGTCTTGATTCCTGTCTCCTGTACAATGTCCTGAACCTCCATCCATAGTTCATCAGGCACTCTGTCTATCAGATCTAGTCCCTTAAATCTATTTCTCACTTCTACTATATATTCATAAGGGATTTGGTTTAAGTCATACCTGAATGGTCTAGTGGTTTTCCCTACTTTCTTCAATTTCAGTCTGAATTTGGCAATAAGGAGTTCATCATCTGAGCCACGTTCAGCTCCCAGTCTTGTTTTTGCTGACTGTATAGAGCTTCTCCATCTTTGGCTTCAATGAGTATAATCAATATGATTTTTGTGTTGACCATCTGGTGTCATCCATGTGTAGCGTCTTCTCTTGTGTTGTTGGAAGAGGGTGTTTGCTATGATCAGTGCGTTCTCTTGGCAGAACTTTATTAGCTTTTGCCATGCTTCATTCTGTACTCCAAGGCAAAATTTGCCTGTTACTCCAAGAGTTTCTTGACTTCCTACTTTTGCATTCCAGTTTCCTATAATAAAAGGACATCTTTTTTGGGTGTTAGTTCTAGAAGGTCTTGTAGGTCTTTATAGAATTGTTCAACTTCACCTTCCTCAGCCTTACTCTTCAGGGCATAGACTTAGATTACCGTGATATTGAATAGTTTGCCTTGGAAATGAACAGAGATCATTCTGTCATTTTTAAGATTGCATCCAAGTGATAGTAGGATCCATTAAAATATTAAATTAAGCTTTTCATATGCTTTAGGTCTTATTCTAAGCAGTTGACCTATCTAATTGAGCACACATACATACACAAAACTTACAGAAAAACTACTATCATTAAATATTACCATTTTACTGATGAAAAAACTGGAGAAAGTGAGATTATGATTTGCTCAGCATCACCAGTTTGTGCCTGGTATTGGCTAGCAGTATAAGTCCTCTTGAAGAAGATTTTAGCCATTGAGTTTGTTCAGATATAGTATTTAGTGTAATCATCATAATATCCATTGGGATACAGGATTATCTTCCTTTTTAATGAGAAAGTGGGGCTTGAGGTTACTATGTAACTTTTTTGATTTTGGATTCCAACAGATTTAGATTCTAATTTCAGTGCTATCTTGCAGCATTAAATTAATTTTCCATCTTCAAGATCCTCACTCTAAAATGTTGATTAATGCATGTAATTAATAGGACTGTTGAACATTAGAAATGCTATCATATAAATAATTAATTTAGGATTTCCTTGGTGGCTTAATCATAAAGAATTCACCTGCCAATGCAGGATATGTGGGTTTGATCCCAGAGTCAGAAAGATCCCCTGAAGAAGGAAATGACAACTCACTTCAATGATCTTGCCTGGGAAACTTCATGGAGAGAGGACCTGATGGGTTACAGTCCATGAAGTCACAAAAGAGTCAGGTATGACTTAGTGACTAAACAACAGCAGCAACAAAATAATTTCAATTCCTTACACATAGATAGCACTCAATAATTAATAATTATTGTAAATTTATCAAGGTCCTATTATATAATGAGTCTTCTAAATTAGAAGATATGACTTGGAATACTAACTCCTCCCCCCGCTTAAGTGTTCCTACTATATTGCTTTGTGCTGTAATATATCCAAACACTGGACCTATCTAAAGATAACTCCCCTGCTATTAATCAATATAGATATTGAAAAGAAAAAAGATGCTCATTTAGTATGCTCAAATTAGCACTGCTGCTGGCAACACGGATGAAATATTTTAAAGGGTATTTCATTCAGTTTGGACACCTATGGCTTTAGTAATAATTAAAATATCAACTCATGATTGGCAACCATCAACCAGAGTACACTGATAAATTTCTGCAAAGATTTGGTATACTCTTGAGTCTAGAAAGCCAGAGTTGCAAACAAACTATTCTGTAAATATTACCTTTTAACTTAAATCAATCAAGACAAAGTTTGTAGATGTACACAATGTAGAAAGTGCTGTTGGTCATAGCCTAAAATTCATAAGCTTTCCTTTATAATCCCTGTTATTAAATAAAGGTTTATTGTGTAATAGTTTTAAGAAATGCACAGAAAAAAAGAACACAGCATATATCCACTATTTACCTATACCATCTTCATAATTGGTTAATTCTACTCAACACAAAAAGTTAACCAGAGGAAAAGAATAAGCATATATTATGGTTCATGTCTTCTCTTGTGATGTTAGACTAGTAAGGTGAGAAAAGCGCTAAAATTTACCTTTCTGATCTCTCAGTCCACCACAGCTTCCAAAGACCTACCCACATGAGATAAATATCTTTCATCTATTTTTCCTCTCATTGTTAGTGTGCTGTCTTAGTGAGAAAGGAGAAGAGATAATGGATACTGTTCTAGAATAATCCTTATCTAGAAAAATATGGCAACATATATGGATGTTTACCTCATAGGAATTCTATACTGAAATTTGGAGCCATAGTCTTGGGGTAATATTAATTTGCAAGCATTGTGTTTGGTATACATTTTTCCCTTTGGCAAAGTTCTTTCCCTTTGTGGTTTAAAGATGAAAAGTCTAAGTGTATTGGAGTTTTCCAAGTCCTTAAATATCAATTGTTTAATGCCTTGCTAAAAGCTGTAAGAAAAAAAAAAAAAGAAGAAGAAGAAGAATAGAATTTAGAATATCACAAAGCTATCTTGGAGTGTTTCCAAAAATGGATCAACTACCTCAGACATAGGAATATGTCATTGTCACATAATCACATGTGCTAGAGAGTGAGGGTGAAGCTATTGCAGGACATTCAATATCACTATGTTGAGAACAACAGAAATAAAAGCTTCTCATGGGGATGTTGGCTACTTGTCATTGCGTCTCGCTTCATTACCCTAAGAGTTCATATTTAGCCATTAAGAGTTCTTCTTTTCTGTTTTCTGACATGAAAGTGCTGGGAACCAAAAGACAATATGATCTAGTATATGAAATCTGAACAAATAGTTACAATTTTCCTGAGATATAGGTCACAATTATGCATTTTCTCTTTTGAAAAGAATAAATTAAGTAAAAGTAGTAAAGAGATAAAATTAAATGCTAACCCTTATACTAATATTTCTTTTGGTTCTATTACACCCTCAAATCTTTTTATTTATAATCAGTTACCTTTGTCTGTTTGTATTGTTTCATCCAGTTTGACTAATATACTGCTTTTTAATCTACACTGAATCATATTGACAGCCAAGTTTCCTGTGCTTTAACTTTAGGGTATTTTTTTTTATATAAAGCCTTTATATATAAAGCCTATTATTTGGTCTATCTGAACTTAGAGAATTCTTCTTGTAACCACTACAAAGCTTAAATAACCATTACTGGATTGTACTTTCATCTTTTCCATGAGAGAGAAGAGAGTGTATGTCAAAAATATAATAAAATTATAGTTTGCAAATTTGAAAACACTGCTAGTCTTTATGTTTATCCCATTACTTGCAAGCCAGACAAAATGAAGAGTAGTGGATAGAAGAGTGAATTCATGAGTCCTAAGTGACTGACATTTTCCCAAGTAGCTTTGAAAAATTTGACTTAAAATCTTTCTACTAACATAAAATTCAGTAGCTTTCACTCATACTTGCTTTGAGCAATGAAGTAAAACAGTTCCCATCTTAGGTAGGGCAAAATAAGCATGGAATCCTGCCAAAACTTTAATGCTAACCACTTGTGGGCTGGCAAAAAGTAGTTTAGCTTCTTCTGAAGTAAGATGTCTTACCATCTCTTAATTAGAGAGACTTTAAGACAAATGACAATGAACCATCAGTCAAGGGAAGCTGGAATACCTGTATGGGAGGCATTAGGACGTTTGCATATAATCCAGACCTCCTTCTTCAGACACACAGTAGGGCTATACTTCTCCACCTCCTTTGAAATTAAGCATGGCCATGGACTTGCTCTGGCTAATGAAATATGAGCAGAAGTGATGTGTGTCTCCCCCAGGTGGGAGTTTCAAGAGCCAATGTGTGATGTATCATACTTCCATCCACTTACCACAGGAAATATGACAGTGTATGTTGCGATGGAGCGTCTGTGAACCAGGTTCTTGCTGTGATGAGGTGCTCTGTTGACCTCACTGATTGATACAATCTGAGTGGAAAATCTATTTACTGTTGTCAGAACACTGAGTCTTTGGAGTTGTTTGTTATCACAGCAAAGTCTAGTTTATACTAATGGATGCACAAGTCACCCTTTATTTGAAAAGAGTCAGATTAGATCTCACTTAATAAATTTTCCAATCATCTTCAAAATTCAGTGTCTACCATAAAGCTGTGAAGATAACAGCAGCAAAACTTGTCCCTAGAAAAACTGTATAACTGATGAGCTGACTAACTCAATAGGAAGTGATTTCCCATCTTGCTAATTTAATTTTTTAATATCCTTAAAATGCCCTAATATAGTTTAGGAATCTAGCAGCTTCTGCAAATTACTGATGAGAAAATTCTTTAGAAAATTATTTCTAACTATTCCTATGTGTCCTATGCAAAGAACATTTACTTTAAAAAATTTATACAAGGATTTTAAGTAGAGATTTAAATTGATTTCATATAGAAAGAAAAGCATGTCAGTTATAATTGGGCTTTTTGTCTGCAGTTACCAAGACCAGGGAGCCAAGCTTGCAGTTAAAAATGTTATCTTCACGTAACCAGAATGATGCTTTGATTCAGAAAAGAAAGAGAACATGTTTTCTAGTGTTTGACACAATTCAGTCCATTCACTGAGACCATGAAACAGAGTTCACCCCTTAAATCTCAGTGTCTTCTTTTGTGAAAGGGGTAATGGTGCTTTCTATAAGAGTTTATTGCCATTATTGCTGTTGTTGGCTGAGAAGCAGGTGTGAGGAAACATACCTTAAAGCCCAGGCTTTAAAAGATGGGAGTTCAATGTTGGTGGTTTAGATCAGGAGTCCCCAACCCTCGGGCAGCAGACAGGTACCGATCTGCAGCCTGTTAGGAAACAGGTCACACAGCAGGAGGTGAGCGACAGGCCAGGAAGCAAAGCTCATCTGCCACTCCACATCACTTGCATTTTACCACATGAACCACCCCCATCCAGCCCTCGCTTGTGGAAAAATTTGGGGATCACTGATTAGATATTTTTTCTCCCACATCTGTTGAATACCAGCCACTGAAGTTCTTAATTTTTAGCTTCTGTGGTTGTTAAAAATTAAAGTTGAGTATAAACAATTCCAGTTCCAAATAATCCAAATCCAATTCTTATTATCATCTGTCTGAGAGAGCTGTGCTTATGAAAGTCTCTCAGTCGTGTCTGACTTTTTGTGACCCCATGGACTGTATGCAGCCTGCCAGGCTTCTCTGTCCCTGGAATTCTCTAGGCCAGAATACTGGAATGGGTAGCCATTCCCTTCTCCAGGCAACCTTCCCAACCCAAGGATTGAACCCAGGTCTCCTGCATTATAAACAGATTCTTTACCAACTGAGATATCAGGGAAGTCCAAGAATACTTGAGTGGGTAGACTAGCCCTTCTCCAGGGAATCTGTATAAATAATTCCATATAATCCAAATCCAAATCTCATCATCAATTGTCCGAGAAAGCTGTGCTTGTGGCTGATGCTTAAAGAATTTGGTCCTGAACCCCAATAATGCAACCCAGATTTCCTATAGTCATAAGTCAGACAGAGATTTATCCTTTCATCAGGCAGCTATCTTCGTCTCTCTTCTCTCCTGATCATTCTGCATTTTAGATTCATATTCTTTTGTGAAGATATAGGGAAACATGTATTTGTCTTCTCAATAGAAGCAGTTGTGAAAAGATCTTTCTGCTGAACTGCTTCATTCCATTTTGAACACATGTTCCCAACTAGATACTCAGTATTTGCAATGTTGGGACAGAGAAGAGTTTGCTCAGGATGTTCTCTATCTTAGTGAGTACTTGAGTCAAAACTACTGTGGCTTGCAATAAACATTTCTTAAGTATTTGCATAGAGTATAGAAGAGAAAGTAACCACATGTTTTTGAGAGCCTACTGTGTACTGAGTGCTTTTCTAACATTGCCACTTTTGAGCTTTACAATTCAATGAGTTGGATATTATTACCCCAAATTTTCAAATGAGGAAACTGTGGTTTAGAGAGGTGGAGGAGGTTAAATTTGTATCATTAATGCTCTTTGGATTGGGGACTGAATCTTAGATCTCCCTTTATCTCAAATGCTTGACCTCACAACAGCACCATACTGTCTTCTCTTAAGGAAATTACAATTGAAAAAAGTCAAGCAATATGCTCCCCTACTATGAACCTTAGTTTCCCCCTTTGGAGCTTGCTGATAATAATACTTCATAAAATTGAGGAAAGGAAATGAGAGAACAATTCAAATAGAGTTAATAGTACAAGGAAAAACAAACATGAACTATTCAGAGAATAAGAGTAAAGTGATATGATTAGAGAGGAGTGTTTGTGTAGAGGTGCAGTAGGACTCAAGCTCTAAGGTGAAGTCTTGAATTTCAAAATGTTGTATCTTAATATGTAGGTAATGATGTGCACTTACGAGTTGTTAGGTATAAAATGGTAGAGAGATGTTAAACAGAAACTGAATCTGGATAGGGTATTTTAATAGATTTATTTCTTCAAATATCTTCTGTGATCACTAGAGGGCTTACTGCCCAAAATGTGGACTGAAAGCTTAAAAACTTACACATTGGAGTTCTAGTTCTACCACTAACTAATAAGGAACTGGAATCACTTCATAAGATCTTATTTCATCACCTAAGAAAATGCCAGTGTTAAAAGATTTCCTTCCTATTTTGTGAATCTGAAGATGCAGCAGAATGAAATTTTAAGGTCATGGCCTTTGGGGGTGAACATAACTGGCCTAGAGTCTTCTTTCTTCCCTATTTTTATTTCTCTTATCTTAGGTAAAATATGTTTAATCTCTTTAAGCCTCAATTTCAATGATTATAAAGTGATTGTATCAATAGTACATTTCTCATAGTGTAATTGAAAGAATTAACAATATGATGATATTGTTAATGTATATAATGCCAAGCTTGGCATATAGGTTCACATAAATTAGTTATTATAATGAATTATGCACTCAGACAACACATGAAGAAGGGATCTGTGTGGTATAACTTCTTTCTAAGTACAAGTCAGTGTTTTCAGTCTTCTACTCTATTGAATAAAACGTTGAGATTACTGTGTGGCAAGCAGTACTTTATATTCTTTATGGACTTCCTCCTCCTTCTCTCAATTCCCCAGCATATGAACTCATAACTTTTGGCGTCTGTTTGCACTTTTGCTATTAAGAACATAAACTGACTTAGGGCATGCAGTAGAAGAGTGCTGAAGGCAGAAAGGAAGTGGTGGGGACCCCTTTCATCAGCATCGCATTGAGGAAAGAGACACATGCTGTGTGTCAGCCAGCCCACCCTGGGAGAGGACAAGATTACTAATGGAGTAGTAATGTTAAAAAGAATAAAAAGTGAGTTCTTTTTTAAAAAAAAATAATAGCATTAAAAGTATCCAAAAGTACACAAAACCAACCTGAAGCTCAATTAAGGGCTGCTAAAAGAAGAGTAGGCTCTGTCTCCAGCATCTGGACTAGGACTGGTGCATGTAATGTATATCTGTCGCTGACAGTTTTCTGGGCTATTTTTAATTCAGTCTAATTAGTCATGTCTTCTCCTGCATGTCCAGGAATCAGTCAGTGTGGATAACAATTGTGAGACTACCTTTTGGAGAACTTCTTTGAATATTATTTTGGAAGACAACTGAAAGTCTTATAAATGATACTCCCATAAATGTCAGCCCTGAAAATTCAGCTGACTTCAACAAGCAGAGGTTGGATGGGCTGGCATAGATATTTGGGTCGAATATTGTATCTGACATCAAAATCATGGCTTTGTAAACATTTCCTTCTTTGCATGCCGATTTAATTATCTTGCACCCCAGAGAAGAGAAAAGCTGGGGCCAACATCATTTCAAAGGAAAGAAAAATGTGTTCCTATTTTTATAGCCTTGTAAAAGCAAGGAAATGTCTGCAGAGAAGGAAAAAAAAATAGTCTTTAAGAAGAATGCAATATTCCCCAACCCAAACTTATTCAAGATGTCATTCCTGGATAGAATTCTATGCTCTCAGCATTAGACAGGCTGGTTAAGCAAAGGCAGGTTGTACATAGACTGTCATCTGAACATGATATTGATTGATCATTTTTACAAACAGGCTGGACTGCAATGAAAAGCCTTGTGAATGTGCTAAGACCATTTTAACAGGTCACTGGAGACCAAAGTGCCTGAAGGAGAGAATCTAAGCCAAGTCCCATGAACAGTTCATAATATATGAATAATGAAGCACTTCAGGAAAAAAAAAAGGAAACATATATATAAAATGAAGATATTCCCAAAGACATTTCTTGTGTCACTAATATTTTTGAGAGCCCTTCTAGCTGCAACCTGATTAGGTGTTTCGGGATCTGCAATATGTTTTCTTCATGACACTCTGATCCACAGTTCTTCTTTCAACATTTTTTTTCACATCATACATAACATGTTTCCATTGAACTAAAGAAGGTAGAATTCTTATCTGAAATAAGCATGAAACACTATAATGAATTAACTCAAAGTAGAAACATTCCTCTGCACACATGAAACTAGAACGGTTGAAACCTTTCAAAAGCAACAGTGAAAGGAGAAACATTAGCTAAAAAAGAGAAAAAAAAAAATCAGCCCCCTTCCAAACAGGGCAACATGTGACTCTTGCCAACCAATCCCACACAGAACCAAATTTCTTAGTTAAACATGTAACTCAGACAAATAGACATTAAGTTGTATCTTGTTCACTCACCTGCCCAACTGTAATTTTTCTCTAAGCTTTAATATTCAACTGCAAGTCCTTGATTTTAAATTCAAGGCTCTAAAATTATATTACCATGGCGGTGTTTGCTTAGCCACTAAGACATGTCCAACTCTTGTGACCTCAAGGATGCTCAGAGGCTCCTCTGTCCATAGGATTTTTCAGGCAAGAATAGTGGAGTGGGTTGCCATTTCCTTCTCCATATATTATCATAAGTTATAATATAGTTTACTAATGAATCATCCCTTACATCAAGTTTTAGAAAGAGGAATTTGTAATTCTTATGCTATGAAATTTATCCTTATAGCTTATTTATTTTGCACATAATAGTTTGTCCCTCTTAATCTTCTATCCCTCCCTGTTTTGCCCTCCCCTCTTTCCTCTTCCCACACTAAGTAACCATGTATATTCTCTATATCAGATGAGTCTGTTTTTTATATTATATTAGCTGGTTTGTTTTATTTTTTCAATTCTGCATATAAATGGTACAATATTTGTCTTTCTCTGTCCAGTTATCTCAAGGTCTATCCATGTTGATGCAAATGGTAAAATTTCATTCTTGTTTATGGCTGAGAAATATTCAATTGCCTTTATCCCTTAGGTTGTTGATGGGCACTTAGTTTCCCATATCTTAGCTATTGTTTATACTGCTATGAACATTGGGGCATATGTATCTTTTTGAATTAGTGTTTTTGCTTTATTTGGCTACATATCCAGCAGTGAAATTGCTGAAGTATATGATATTTTAGTTTTAGTTTTTTGAGGAACTTCATACTGTTTTCTGTTATGGCTGCACCAATTTGCAATCCTACCAACAGTGTCCTAGGATGCCCTTTTTTCTACATTCTCACCAACATCTTATATTTGTAGACTTTTTGATGATAGCTATTCTCATAGCTATTCTTTGGCCACCTGATGAGAAGAACTTGCTCTTTGGAAAAGACCCTGAAGCTGGGAAAGATTGAGGGCAGGAGGAGAAGGGAACAACAGAGGATGTGATGGTTGGATGGCATCACTGACTCAATGGATATGAGTCTGAGCAAGCTCCAGGAGTTGGTGATGGACAGGGAAGCCTGGAGTGCTGCAGTCCATGGGGTCATAAAGAGTCGGACATGACTGAGTGACTGAACTGAACTG